CAACTGAAAATTGAGACAGAAACCACAATTAAGTGACAAATTGGAACAGAGAGAGAACAGGGTTGATGTCATTGCCATGATGTCACAGCCATGCTTTGATCAGGGCATTGGACGGCTGACCTTCATGAGCCAACCTCATTTATCTCAGTGTCTCATTTGCAGCAGTTCTTCCTTTTCTTGAGGTCACGCAGTGCTCTGCAGGGTGACAGGTTGTCTGCCCTGGCTGTTTCAGGGAAAAATAGAGGAGAAGCAGAAAGAACTGTACCAGAATTTGAAGACTTTGTCTGTTGGGAGTGGTTGAGTGGGCTTGGGATGTTACTGCATCTGTTTGCTTTGGTTTTTAGCTCATCGCTCCAGTACGATTCCCCAGCAGCACAGGGAATGGTGATCTTTGCTATGGTGATTTAATGAAGTGCTAAGGTCCAGCACACCTTAACACTTAATTCTAAACTCCTTGAGGTAGGTTTTGAAGTCTTCCACAGCCAGCTATGTCCTTACTCTACAAGACCATCTAGAAAACAGTAGTTGCTACTTGGGATGGATGCTGCAGCATACATCATTTTAAAGGAGATGAAATACCCATAGCGAGACCTAATTTTCCTTTTGGTCTATCAGTGAGAACTGTAATGAGGCACAAAAACACTATTATGCATTTCGTTTTTTCCCTTATAGTTTCTGTCTACAGAATGGCAATCGTGGTGTGGCATATAGTTGTGTTTTATTTATTTACTATTATTTTAAAATTCCTAGCTTTTCTTTGTGCAGGCGTCGAGTTTGATACAGCCCTCTAAACAAAATGTTGCTGTTTGGTTTTGGAGGAACCTGGTGTGTGTGGTAAATGTGATGGCTGCATTCAACCCTCTGCTGTTCTGGTAAACATTTAGTGTGATGCTGTGGTTTGTAGACCCTCTTTGCCTTTACATCTGTCCAAAATAAAGCAGATTTTAGGGAAAGGATCTTTTATTTTCACATCTGTTTTGCCCATGTGTGTCCATAGCCATAGCAAATGGTTTTGTCGCACTGAATTGCACTGCTTGGATGCTGCTGCTCCTGTCCAGCTTTGGTGGGACCTTTGGTTTTCCCTGTGGTCAGTGGGGAAGAAGTTGGTGCTGTGAAGGTGGCTTCATAGCATGTGGAATACCTTGTCCAGGCTCCCTTCCCTAAGGAATTAGGAAGCATAGCTCAGACCAACTTCCAAAAAAGGTCTTGTGAGCCAGCTTCTCCTGGAAGCCCAGTAGAGGCAGGGAAAGGACTTCCTGTAGTGTGAATATCATGATGCTTAAGTATAGGCTGTGTATTAAAAGCAACGAGGTAGCAGCACGCAGACATGGATCCAATGACTGAGCTTTCCTTGACGTCATTTGATATGTAATTATAGGGAGATTTCGTAGCATGCAACAGCCAAAACCTGGAAATACTGCAGAGGTTTGTTTGGGTGTCTTGGCTATCGAAAGATCTCAGCCATATGAAATAATCCCAAATAATCAGCATTTCATCTCCCAGACCATTACTGCCCTGTTCTTGATGCTGTTTTTTTTTGAGTTTGCTAAAGCTTCATTATGGCAATTACAAACAGATGGTGAGATAACTCATTTTATGTGTCAAAACAATCAGTTTGCAGAGGGGGGAAAAAAACCAACAAACTGTGTAGTGCTTCTCAGAAGAAGAAATTGGTTTTCTGTTCAGGGGAAAAATAAAAAACAACAACAAAAAACAAGTAGGAAGTGGTTTCTGTGTGATGGCCGTGTTTTGGGAGCTCTCTGATTGACTTGGCTCTGTAGAAGAAGCAGCTGAGCACTGGAGACCCTGGGGCCTGCATGCTTGGGTTCTGCTGAACATTCAGGAGAGCCTTGCTGGTCCCTGCCCACCTTTCAGCTCTCCATGCCCCAGCTGGCTGCTCCTAAACGTGTTTCAGATGCAGACAACTCTATCTTGCTGTGTTTACAGCCCCTGACATTGACTTCATTTATGAGTGAGTAGTGAGTACTTGTGCCGCTTGGCTCCTCTGCCTGTAAAGATGTAGATCACCCTTAAGTTATTAGGCTTATTATTTATTTTTCTTTAAGATAATTACGTATGCAACTATCCCATTCCTCAGCACTGTTTACCTTCTCTCTTTAAGAACGTAGATAGCCATAATGCTGTCCTTATCCACCAGCACATTTCATCACTCGGCATTGATGGGCAAATTCTGCATTTGCCATCTCAGTATGAAGGGAGAGGGACCACAGGAAATCAGCCCTCAGTTCTGTCCTGATAAGATCTTTTTCCTCTTTTTCATTAAATCCAAGTGGAACACATTCTGTAAAGGCGAGTCTCAAAGGGACTTTTCTTTATATTCCCATTTATGTTAAGTGAGCTCTGTGAGATGTTGTGATAACTTGCAGTGTTACTGTGGGCCCTGTTGGGCAGAAATCACTCAGAGTTATGGGTCAGAATGGAGGAGTGCTGGCAGAGGTGTAGGAGCCTTTTATAACTGATGATGTTTGCAAGTAAGTATAGAAAATAGCATGTATTTGTATGTGCTAGTTAAAACTTGAAAAGAGATTTTATCTCCAGCTATTTTCCTTCAATAAACTTTTTTCTCCCCCTATTTAATATACTTTTAAACTTTTTCCTATTGTCCTAGCCTAGAGAATTTGCTGTGGAAAGAGATTTGCTTGAACTGAGATCTCTTCCTTGTGCTGTTGCTGCCTGGCAGGGTAGGCATGGGCAAACCCCTTTGCTAGCTGCATGTCATCATCTTCCTGTAATGATGTGGAAGAGATTTTGTGTTTTCTTCCTTGTTAAGCAGTATAAACACAGCTATAGGACGTAATTGTTTTTTCTATTCTTTAAGATGTTTAAGTCTATTCTTTAAGGTGCACATAAGAGAGGCGATGTCTGTGTTTGTAAGTGCTGGGAAATTGTTTCACAGTAGAGGATGAGGAGAAACCCATATGGGGAAACCCTTCTAAAATGAGTCTACTTACACATGCAGGAGTTATCTCAATGCATTTCCATGGAAAGGAGAAACCTTTGGGCAGTTAATTCCTTTATTTGGACAGCTTTATAGAGTGTGCAGGCTTTTCACATACAGAACTAGAAATCTAAGGCTTGTTAATATTCTTTGCACCTGCTTGTGCTAAACTGAAAACTCCTCCAGAATGAACTCGGAACAGAAAGCCCCAAAAGAGTAATGTCTTATTGTGAAGCTGGTTGATTTTCTCCACTTGCTAATACTTTCCAAGTCATAAACATCCCAGTGAGTTTTGCATGTGTGCCTCCATATACACACCCTCATTCCTTAATGGGTACGATGAAAAACCTGCAGTGATTCACTGCACACTCACTGTGTATTTACCAGTGTTATCTCTGCCTGCAGTGCTTGCCAGCTTACAGGAGTAGCAGTAAAGCTTGCTGAAGCTCTGTGGTATTGAAAGCCAAGTTATCAGCCTCACAAACAAGTGAAACCGCTGCACAGTTGTACTGTATGCCTTGCAGAGAGCTGCTGATCATCACACTCTCTGATCAACATGGGATCACTACCAGGAGCCTTGGGTTAATGTTTCTTACTTAATGTAGTTAATCATCGCCTTATCAAACTGTGACCACGCTTTAACGTGCAGTCCTGAAAGCAGCTCTGCAGGAATGCTGGAGGGAAGTTCCAGTCTGTTTGCTTCGGACTGGGAGGGAGGTTTTTACTGGTTAATGAATCCAGAGGAGGTTTGTTTCCTTTGCCTGGTACTGGAGAGTTCAGGTAGTTCTTTCAGCTCAGTACTTTGCCATGGAAATGTAATTTAGAAATATGATACCAGAACAAGGAGTCATGGGCTCCTTATTTTTCCCCTCTTTTCCTTGCTGCTTTAAGAGGAACAAGAGGGTAAGTTGTTTTTTTTTTTTTTCCTTTTTCCAGTTTGAAATAGTCTGTGCTGAAGTGTATATGGAAAAAACCCTTTTCTGCCTGCAGTGTCCTATGATGCCTTGCAAAGTGCTGTCCCGGTCCCTCAGCAGGAGCCCACCAGCAGAATTAAGGGAAATTTTAGTAACAGTGCTGACAAAAAACTTTGTGTACAACTGATGTGGCAGCATTCAGGTTCTGCTGTGCCTCTGTGGGTGAATGAAGGAGGCTTGTTTTGCAATGCTCCATCTGCCAGCTTTTACCTTCTCCAGTCAATTCATGGAACACAATCATTTTTCTAGCTGCTAGCAAGCTTTGCCATTTGCCATTATTCTTGAGGTGCTTGTAATTGTGCTTTTGGGCTGTGCAGACAGTGTAGGGGCACTGTCTCTGGTAGAGCAGTGGCACGTTGTGCTTCGTTGGGTGCTGCGTGCCTACCCACAAACACTGCTGGTGTGGCAATGAAATGGTGGTCAGAGGGGCCTCAGTGACTATCATTTAGGTAATCCAATCTCTCACACAACATTTGATACACAAAATCACAACCCCTACTCTTTCTTGACTTGCCATTCAGTCCTTTTAACTGCTCTTTCCAGGTGTGCTCCATAGGGCAGGCTTAGCCCTGGGGCTGGGGCAGGAAATCTGCCTGTGGAGAAGTGCAGGTTGCCCATCAGGGTTTGGCAGAGGATTGCTGGTAGATTATGGGCTTCATCAGCCAACTCTCACTGGCCATCAATTTGTATTGGGTGCTTTTGTCTTCTTTAACGTGCCTTGTGATAATGAGGGTACCCAACTACTTTGAAGGGATTAAGATAGGTGTAAGGGGATGAATTTGCAGGATTTCATGTTCAAGGTAAGGGTAACGGATACCAACCCATCTGTGCTGTGGATGGGAACAGGGCAGGATCAAGCCCAGACCCACAGATGGGTTTCATGCTGTCCTCATATAAGCCTGGAAGCAGGCCTCTGCCCAGGGCTGCACTCAGAGGCTACTGTCTTCTGTCTGGCCACAAGGCACAGGTTGGTGGATGGCTTCCATACCCCAGGCGTGGTGGGGCGGGTGTAGGTTCTCAGGACAGGCCTTGTTGCACCCCGGTGACTCCTCCTTCTTCTCTTGCAGGAGCTGAACCTCGAGTCCTGCTCTATGCTCACTGGGGGAAGGCCTGGAAGGACATCTCGGACTGTTGGTGCTGCTTCATGCAGTTCAAGTAAGTTTGCGTGTTTTGACAGCTCTTGGGTACAAGCGAATGCTGAGGCGATGTGTTTTGGGGAATGGGTTTGCCTAGCTTACCTGCTGGATGGCAAGGGGGGGGATGAGGATATTAAAGCATTATGACAAGCAAATTTGAGGGGAAAAAAAAAAAAGAAGAAAAAAGTAGAATAGTATTGAATGGTACGAAGAGTGCTGAAGGTGCTGGTGAAGAATTACATTGGAGACTACATGTCTCACAAGTGAACTCACAACTTGATTCATACTGCAGTTGTACGTGTTCTCGCTGTTCCATTGAGTGTGCCACAGTGTCAAACAGTCCATAGCACTTAAGGCACCAGCTGCTCTTCCCTATTGTTTTAAGGCACTGTGCACCTGTCCCTGGGGGTAGACAGGTGGTTCTGGTGTTCTCAGCCTGAGGGTTTCTCCAGAAGCTGCTGGGGATGGGAGTTGGGGCACACAGGGCTCCTGCCAGGGGAGCGTGGCTCATTGTGAGCCTCTTGTGAGCCCCATGTGCTTCCTGCTCCGTCCTGCAGTGCTCCAGGTGTGTGTTCAGTGCTGCTTTTTCAGTTCCATAGCCTCTCAATGTGGTGAACCAGATCAGGGGATGGATCTGACTTGTAGATGACATGTAGCTTCTGTAGGACCATCAGGAACTGTTGTGTCTCATGCAGTTATAGTCGTTTTTTCCAAAAATACTCAGGTTGGAAAAAAACTGTTAGCCTAAAGCAAAGAAACTGTGGGAGCCTTCTTTGGAAACGGGTGCTTGCAGTGCTTGGCCTCTGTCAGAGAGTTGTTTTCTCCTCTTGTGTGTGTAACCTGTTTACCTTCTGTGGAGTCTCACATTTTCCATGGCTGTGCCCAAGAAGACTGGTGCAAAGCAGTGTGGTTAGCAGTGCTGGGCCCAAATCATTTGGCAGTGTTATAGCAACAGCTGGGTGGATCAATCATAAGCTGGTGCTGTGCTAGGGAGACAAGCATTTATTGTGATTATTTTGTTTTCCTTTTTTTTAGATGGGGTTGGTAGGGGTGTTGTACCTGTTTGCTGATTTTGAGGGGAAAAAAAATAATTGTCTTAGAATCATGGGTGAAATTATGAATGAAACCTCTATTGGGAAAGCATTCCTTCGAGGATGTGGCTGTCAGAGGGCTGGTCCCTGCATCCATCATGAGTTCAGATCATTACCTGGATGTGCTGCACATGGCTAGTGGAGGAATGCAATACATGAGTTTCTGTGTAAGACAAGTGGTTTGCTGCTTGATTTGCTACCAGATCAGGCTGTCCGGGGCCTCGTCCAGCCATAGATGGGGCATCACAGCTCTGGGCAAGCTGTTCCAGTGCCTCATCACCCTTCTGAGTAGTTTCTTAACTTCCTGTTAATTTCTGGAGCACAGGAGCATGCATTGAGCAGTGCCTGCTGGAAAGGAAGGTGCAAAGGTTTCCAGTGCCAGGGCAGTGAGTGCTGTTTACCTGGCCCTCTGGGAACCAACATCTGCACCACGACTGCTTTCAGATGTGTGTTCTCTGATGGGTCTAGGAAAAAAACTAAACTTGAGTTTAGGAGCAGCTTTCCTTATTCCTCAAAGCCTTCCCTCATTTTGGCTGCTGGTCCAGCGTTTCCCTAACTGTGCTTGTAATGATGATCCCTTCATTTCATTCATGGTTACTGCCTAATGAACTTCATGTTAATGAATTCTGTAACATTTAAAATAGCTGCATAACTTGATGAAAAACAAACAAAAAAACCCAAGAAATATCAATAATAAAGGGATGCATTTCCACTCCCCAAATTTAATCCTGTGTTATAACATAATTGTGCAGAACTGCCTGGCTGGAGAACAGCTGCGCAGCGTGGGCTCCTGGTTCTGCATAGCTGCTTGTCCCTGAGCTGGGGTAATAAATGATTTACTGGTGTGACTGCAACCTGTGGGCATTAACCCATTGGGCTCCTGAGGGGCCAGCCTGAAAGCTTGCTTTGTGAGGGCTGCTGGAAGCAATGATCTCAGGTGCAAAGCTGGATGTCTGTTTGCAAAACTTACTTTATTGCTTGTGGGCTAGTTGCCAAAGGGATTGGACGCAGGGGGTGAGGTGGTGATATTGTGTAGAATCTGTGCTCATTTGAATTTGTTTGATTTTGTTTTTAGTTTAATTTTCAGATTTCTATGTGTACTCTGTCATCTCTGCTTTAGATACTCTGTTATACTCTGTGATACTCTGTTGCTTTGGGTTTTGCTTTTTGTGATACCTTCCCTGCATGCTGTATACTTAATGTTGTGTCTTACAAACTGTAACTCTGCTTTTTTCTTTCTGGCAATGAGTACCAGAGGGCTCCATTAGTTGCTGGGAGTGGGTCAATGATGTACATTTTTCAAGACTCCCATCACGTGTATTCTAGCTACGCAGTGTATTAAAGGCTATCAGCTGAATTTTGCTCATTTGAAGAGGCACCCAGAAGGTCTGCTAAAGATTTCTGGCAGTTAATACTTGAGCCTGAGATAAATGTTTTGTGCCTACGTGAAACAGCTGCCCCAGAACCTGTTGGAGGACTTAATTTGAGTATAAACATACGTGTGCTTTTGCGTACATGCTGCACTATAATTCAAGTCGACTGTTAGTTCTTAACTTTATTAGGATGTAGCTACTTGAGCTGAAGATAGAGCCTGTGCTTTTTATTTTATTACAGCTACATGGTAGCTACTTATAAAATGCTGCTTGGGTTTTAGGACTCGGTATCTTAATTACTGTTTGCCATTAGTAAGATTTTCAAGTAGCAATTGACAAGTGAGGGCAGTGATATCTTGTTACAAGTGGATTGGTTGACAATATGTGTGTACTGTAAAACGTGAAATGAATCGCCCTGTGCTGATGACCCTTGTACATTTACAGGAGACTGGTCTTTATGATACACAAATAGATTCCGGACACAGGAAAGAGGCTTATGACAAGAGGATGAGATCAGTTTGTATAATTAGAGCTAGCTAATAATCCTTTTACTCTCTGTTGTTTCAACTTCTACAGAGTCTTTGTTTCTTGGAAGCTGGGCATGTGGAGCATATGGTGATAACCACAGCGATTTGAGTTTTGTGGGGTTTTTGTATCTAATGATGGCAGTGGAGAAACCAGGTGTGTGTTTTGGGAGTGCTTGCTGCCTTCCTCTGCTGGGCCTGGGGGATGTGGCTGCTTTGGTTTACCCCGCACGGCTTGATCCCCTTCCACAGTTTGGATGGTAAGGTGGGAGCCCCAAAAACCGCAGCCCTGCGCTGCAGGCTGGGCTCCGGCCTGTTAACAGCGTGGGTCCATTGCTGCCACCAGGAAGCCAAGCTACATTATGCAAAGCAAGTTAATCTATATCCAGAGCATTTTATTAAATCATCAGTCAATTAAATCAGTGACGCTCTGTTAGCTTTCGTTCCAGTGAGGCTCTGCATGCAGTTAAGCTGTTGCTGTAGCAACTCTTGGCCTTCTGTTGGTGGGGCCTGCTGCATGGGGAAGGCTGCAGTGCTGAGCTCTCCAACAGCATTTAACATTTAGGGCTGATTTTTCAGTTAAACTCATTCCTTCTCCATCCTTTACTGAGGAAGGAGAGTGTCATGAAGTTGCATCTCTTTCTGGTGCTGCTAAAGCTGTCTGCATGCACCTGGTTGCAGTGGGGGCTCGAAGACCTGCCAGTGGTCCTTCGGAGGCGAGGACAGCAGGGCCAGGCCGATACAAAACGTGTTTACATCTCCTCTCCATTGCTTGCAGCTAAATGAAACTCCTCTGTGTCTGTAATTGAATGGCAACATATGGTTTTGTTTGCAGACAGGACGCAGCTGGCAGGCAGCATCACCTGTGGAAATGGTGGAGGAGGGATTTTTTTTTTTTTTTTTTTTTTGTAAGGAATCAATTTAGTTACAAAACCTAACCTTCAGCAAGTTACATGAATTCAGGTGGTTGTACACAAATGTCTGGGGTTTTATGCTCAACACTTCCTCAGCTGCAATGGCACATGCTGTGCTGCCCTGCACTCATACCCTGATTGCTGCCACATGCTTGAGATGTAGCTCCTCATCTCCCCACCCCTCTCTACAGTCAGAGGCTTTTGCTAGTGGGATTGTGTACCTATGTGTTTGTGAGGTAACTTTTGAATGGGTTGCTTGCTTGATTCCTCCAGCCTCCTATTTCTGGCTAGCTAAAAAATCCTGCGTTAATATAGCTACGGAGAAAGTCATTCTGCATTTAGTATTGTAATGCCTGGAAGCATGTATGTTCATCTTCTGTCACAGAATCACAGAATGTCAGGGTGAGGTTTGTTTTAGTTGCTGCAATTGCTGCTTGATTTATACGAATTTCTCCCTGCTTACAGCTGAAGAATTGGGTCACTGGTTTATTTCTCCTGCCTAAACAGAACGCTTGTTGGTTTTGCTCTCGGTTTTACTTTTTTATTCAGTCTGCTTGCACATTAGAGGGCATTAATACATCAATTAGAAAGGTAGTTCATTTTGTGAATGGTGACTTCTGGCATCCCTTCAGAATGAATGAAAACAGTGGGGCAAATTGTGTGAACAATTCATTCCTTCTTTCACCTAATACTGAAGAGTGAGAGCAAGTCATTGCTGATCTAAACTGTGCAGGAGGATACCCAGAAAAAATACACCAGGCAAGACAATGTGAGTAAAATTAACATTGCTTGTTTCTATTTTCGGACTTAACTGCTACAATTAAAGAATAAAATACATAAACCAAAACAAGAATGGCTTTGTTTCAAATTTTAATTATCTTAAAATAAAAATGCAAGGAGACAATTGATGAGTAATACAACTTGGTAATTTATATATCACTCCCAAGAAAAGGGGAATATTCTAGTGTAGTGATTCCCATGACGTTAGGGGAGAGCAGTTAACTTGGGAAAGATGTTGCTATTCTAGTTCTTTGCATGAAGTTCAGGGCTCCAGCAGGGATCTGTCTGCATGTGGCCAGCTTGTCCCGCGCTTGCTGTTTCCTACTGCCTTTGTTTA